TAAGCTAGCTTATAGCTTATATGTAATTTTTGAGCTTATAGCTTATAGCTTATGACTTATAGCTGAAAAGCTAGCTTATATTATAAAAGTATTTGGTAAATTAGCTGATAAGCTAGCTGAAATATAAAAATTCAACTAGCTTATTTGAAAAGCTACCTAAAGTAGCTTATGGGATAAGGTCGAGCTTTTAAAAAAAACTCGTCCTACCAAACGAAACTTATTTTAATATAAGCTAACCAAATAAGCTATAAGCTAGCTTATTTGACTTACCATATATGTAATTTTTGAGCTTATAGCTTATAGCTTATGACTTATAGCTGAAAAGCTAGCTTATATGATAAAAGGTGTTTGGTAAATTAGTTGATAAGCTAGCTGAAATAAAAAAATTCAACTAGCTGAAATAAAAGGTGTTAGGTAGCTTTTCAAATAAGCTCGAGCTTTTTAAAAGAGCTCGTCCTACCAAACGAGGCTTATTTTAAACAGGGAGCTTATAAGCTAACCAAATAAGCTAAAAGCTAGCTTATTTGGCTTACCAAACATAAAGTCTCGTTTGGTAGGACGAGCTTTTTTAAAAAGCTCGAGCTTATTTCATAAGCTACTTTAGGTAGCTTTTCAAATAAGCTAGTTGAATTTTTTATTTCAGCTAGCATATCAGCTAATTTACCAAACACCTTTTATCATATAAGCTAGCATTTCAGCTATAAGTCATAAGCTATAAGTTATAAGCTCAAAAATTACATATAAGCTATAAGCTAGCTTATCAGCTATCAGCTAGCTTATCAGCTAGTTTTACCAAACATAGCCTAAAGGGGTATATTCATTTAGCATTTCGATTGATATTTTGAGACTTTTTAAGATTTGAAATTTTGTAAGATTTTAAGATTTTGGAAATCTTTAAGTTGTGAGATTTTGTATAAGACTTTTTTTTAAAAAAAAAAAATATTAACAAATCTTTAAAGGTTTTAACAAATCATAGTCTTAAATAAATTAAATACATTTGTATTTTGTAATTTTTTTTTTTTAAATCTCAAATGAGTATCACAAAACTTTTAAAAGTTTATACAAGTCCAAACAAAATACACTAGGATTTTTAAATTTTTAAAAGTCTTTAGAAATCTCAAATGAATACAATCTTTAATGTTGGCATGTTATGTGTTTATGTTTTTTTTTTTTTTT